CTCTAACAGTCTAAGTCCCTAAGTGACTGTCATTCTGTTTTAAGTCACTATGATTTACAGGTTATTTTCACTGCAGCACATCCTGACCAATATACTATGCTACCATTTAAGAAAAGAGGAAAAACATAAATATATGTTTTTGTGTGTAATTGCATAAACAAACTCTAGGATAATAATATGAAAGTATAAATGCTTTTTAGCACAGAGGGGAAAAAGATTAGTTGAATGAAAAAATATATTCTTTTTTTTTATTATTTTTTTAATAATAAATTTTATTTTTATATTCCCCATACAATTTCAACCCCTCCATTCTGACCCCAATCCCTCCCCTCCCTCCCCCCACCCCACAAAAAGTGTCTCTGGTTCATAATTTTTGTTGATTTTCATTTTCTTATAGTTATTCAATTTCCTGGTCCCTTATTTAAGTTTTCTAGATTCCTGCTATGAGTGAGACCATCCAATATTTTTCCTGAAAAAAATATATTCTAATATACTTCTTTTTATATACTTATTTTTTTTTAAAGATTTTTTTATTTTATTTTATTTTATTTATTTATACAAGCACTGGGCACAGTCAGAAGCGCGGGAGGGTGAGAGAATTCACCAGAGCCAGAGCGGGGAGCAGAGCAGGCAGAAGGACTGAAGTACACTGCTGAGGGGAGCAGCGGGCGGCAGGAGAGGTCTGCGCGCCATGTGGGACCCTCCTCTGGTGGCCGGGGAGCATTAGGGGATCGAACCGATGGTGCAGAGGCTGCAGGCAGCTTCGCAACCCAGCGCTCAACCGCTGCGCCACTGGGGAGGCCCATTATATACTTATTTTTGAACTATGAGGCATATTATCTATTCATTTGTATGTATGTCCATGTAGGGGAGTATGTATGAACTATGAACCATGTGAATATGTACATTTTTATTCCTGTAAAAACTATGTATACTTTTCAGAGAGTATACAGAGCTTTCATCAACTATTCATGTTTAAGAACCAAGAAATATAAAGAAAGCAATACTCTCACCTTCTATATAATCAAGATGAAATGTCAGATAAAGATTACAATCATCACATACAAATGCTGAATGATCAAACTCATTATTGTGTTCTTGTAGCACAATGTTCCATGCACGTAAGCTAACCAACCATAGCAGAGATTCATCTACTCTCTCTAAGAATAACTACCTACATCTAAGAGTAACCAGTACTATTATTGCCTGATGCTCCAAGAAACATGACATAATCAACTAATGAGAGGGTTACCTGCTCTTTAAATAAAGTATTAAGTTTCCATTTACACTATTTTACCACTAAAGTATTGGCACTCTATAAAAAGGTACATAAGTAACATAACAGAAAATACAAAACTCTTTTAATCTCTATACTAAGCAGTGAAGAAACAAAGAAAATACAGTGTCTGCCGGAAACAGGTGATAGCCTTTGGGGAGGAAGATAAACACATACAATAGTATAGAAGCCACAATAAAAGCTGGCTTAGAATGGCCAGATGAACTTCAAGAAGGGTGTCAAGACAACTAAGTGGGGCAAGGCACAGTCTCTTCAACAAATGGTGCTGGGAAAGATAAATAGTCACATGAAAAAGACTGAAGTTGACTCTTATTTAAACCAGAAATAGAAATTTATTCAAAATGGATAAACAATGTAAGATCAAAAGCTATAAAACTTCTACAATAAAAAAGCAAGGGGTATGGGCCTCCCCTGGTGGCGCAGCGGTTGAGCGCTGGGCTGCGAAGCCGTGTGCACCTCTGCAGCGCTGGTTCGATCCCCGGATGCCAGTGAGGGTCCCACATGGCGCGACAGACAGCTCCTGCGGCGCCCACTGCTCCCCTCAGCAGTGTATTTCGTCAGTCTGTCTGATCTGTTCCCCGCTCTGGCTCTGGTGAATTCTCTCACCCTCCCATGCTTCTGACTGTACCCAGTGCTTGTATAAATAAATAAATAAATCTTTAAAAAAAATAATAGCAAGGAGTATGGCATATAACATAGGATTTGGCAATAAGTTCCTAGATGTGAAACTAAATACACTGGCAAAAATGAAAATACAAAGATTACATTAAACTTAAAACTTTTTGTACATTAAAGGATATAATTACAAGAGTTGGAGAAAATACCTGCATATCATTTTTCTAACAATAATGTCCAGAATATATAAAGAATCCTGTAATTCAAAACAACACAAAAATAACAGCCTAATTAAAAAGACGAAAGACTTCAACAGGCATTTTCTCCAAAGAAGATACAGAAATGGTCAACAAGTATGAAACATATTCAACATCACTAATTCTTAGAGAAATGCAAATCAAATTCACAATGAGGTATCTAGTATCCATGAAATTAGCTAATAAAAAATAATTATTGAGAGTATGTAGAAACTAGAACCCTTATGCACTGCTGGTAGAAGTGTAAAACATACAGCCACTATAGGAAAGTACCAGGATAGCAAGTGCTCAAAAAATTAAAAATTTAACTATCTCATAATCCAGCAATCCCATTTTTGTATATTTCCAAACTGAAAGCAGGATCTTGAAGAGTTATATACACACCCACATTCATAGCAACATCATTCACAACTGGTAAGAAATAAAAGCCTATCAAATATCCATTAATAGATAAATGGGTAAACAAAATGTGGTGCAAACAATGGAGTATTATTCAATTAGAAAAAAAGGAAGTTGGGGGGCTCCCTGGTAGCACAGGGGTTAAAGACATGGCGCTATCAAACTATCACCAGCCACCACAGCACGAGTTCAACTGATACCCGGTGGCCAGGGAGCTAACCCACATGGCACAGCAGACCTCTCCTGCCTCACCCGCTGCTCCCCTCAGCAGTATATTTCAGTAGATCTGCCTGTTGTACTCCCCACTCTCTCTGGTAAATCTTCTCACCCCCTCCACCTCTGGCTTACACCCAAGTTCTTGTATGCACAAATAAATCTTTAAAAAAAGAAAAAGAAAAAGGAAAAAGAAAGTTCTGTCACATGCTACAATATAGACAAACATTAAGAACATTTTGCTAAGTGAAATTAAAAAAGTCACAAAAAAGACCAGTATTATATGATCCATTTCTCCAGGCTCAATACGTTAAGGAGTACAGGAAATATTACAAATCATTTATGTGCAAATCACAGTTATGAATGAAGTTTCAAAGAACTTTCTTAATAAGGTCTAAAATAGTAGAACTTAAACCACATCACGTCACTTTAGGAATAACCTCAATAAGGATTTCTAGATACTTTTCATTAATTATGTTTAGTATTACCATCTGTTAAATTTTAAAGTATTCATTGACTTACCACTGACTCCCACTGAGGCTTATGAATCTATTTCCTACACCTAACAACCTTATAATGTTTTCCTAATTTCAAAAGGAAGCAAAAATAAATAATTCAAAATAATTTACTATATAGCAAATATTATACTTAGAAACTATCTTGCTAACCCACATAACAAAGCTTTTAGGTAAAATTAGTCCCATTTTGCAAACAATGAAATTACAACTAAGAATAAAATGGCTAAGGAACGGCACTTGTCATCATGGGAGCCTAACTTTCTAGTTTGGTCTATATAAAGATAGAATATAAAATCAAAGTGTACCATAGGAATGCAAAGAAAAGTGTTAGGTACAGAAACATTTTAAGCAAACTTAAGACTTTATCTCATTGTCTTGATCTATATATAGTTACTACAGTCTAAATGCTTATTTTCCCCCTAAAGTTTGTATCTTGAAAAATTATCTCCCCAGGTGATGATGCTATGAGGTTCAACTTTGGTGGGTGATTAAGTAATCAGGGCAGAATCCACAGGATTGGAATTAGTGCCTTACAAAAGAGGCTCCTCAGAGATAGCTTGTCCCTAGTCATTAGCCATGAACCAATAAGAAGGTCTAACCAGAAATCAATCATAGTGACTCCTTAATCTTGGACTTCCTAGCTTCCAGAACTGTAAGAAATAAATTGTTGTTTATAAGTTACCCAGTGTATGTATTTTGTTAAAGTGGTCTGAACAGACTAAGGTAATAGTCTTCATAGCCTGACATAACATTGGCTCTGAGGAAAAAAAAAAAAAAAAAAATCAATGATACTGGCAACCTTAAGTTTGTGTATCTACCTTAGTATCTGTGACTCAATCCATAAAGAAAAAGTTGTACTTATTTCAGTATTACAACTTAGGAATTGAATTCATCTTAAAAAAATTCTCCTGGGCCTCTGTCATGGCATAGGGGTTAAGTCTCAGTGCTACAACCACTAGCTATGGCCTGAGTTCAATCTCAGGCCAGGGAGCTAACCCCACATGGCACAGCATACCTCCCGTGTCTCACTTGCTGCTCCCCTTAGCAGTGTATTTCAGTAAATCCACCTGTTCTGCTACCCTCTGTCTCTAGTGAATTCTCTCATCCTTACACACCTCTGGAATACACCCCAGTTCTTCTACACAAAAATAAAATATAAAATAAAACATTTTCCTAAATCCCTCAGCAATTCTTAAAAGTAAAACAAAAAAAAAAAATTTAAATGTAGCTTAAATATAAACACAGTTTTGACTTTCTAGGTGAGTCTCTAAATGACAGAGATCACAAAATAATCAAGTGACATTCTATCTTCACAGAGAAAACAAAGCCCTGTGACTATGGAAAATTGAACAAAGTTATTTTTAATTTCTAAGATTTCTGAGTTAAGTGATTTGCAAACTAGATCAATATTTCATGAAGTATTGTATCTTAAGTTTAAAGAAATGAGATAACATAAGTAATACCATTTTACAATTAGGTCACTAAAAGTTTACTTAGGGTTGAAGAAGACGGCACAGAAGAAAAATATTAAATTATTTGCCTCCATATTTAATTCATTTTAGGTCCCTGTCATAAGCTGCTTTTTGTAAAGTAGGTTAACAGAAGCTTAGAGTTCAAAAGTAAGAGTTTCAAAAAATACAAAGTAAACGCTAGATCTTAAACAAATTTATTTATTCTATTCAAATTTTTTAAGTAGTCTACCTGAATCCTCCTGGGCTTCATGAGTTTCAGCATCATCTGTAACCTCTAATTCTTTCACAAAATTTGAAGGAAACAGTCCAAATTTGTTGTTCAGGGTTCCATTCCACCAGCCTTCTTCTACCTGAAAAAGTTCATAACTCAAATAATAAAAATTCCTCTTACAAGAAAATGTTCTCCTATGGGAAAATGAATGAGTATAAAATTAGTGATGCAATATAATTCCCCTAAATATATAGGAAAAAGCAATGAAGAAAACGTTTTATTTTTTTTTTTAAGGGCTTAACAACAGTTGTATTCTTTTTAATTCTTTTTTTTTTTTTTATTTATACAAGAACTGGGGTAGAGACCAGAGGTGTGAGAGGGTGAGAGGATTCACCAAAGACAGAGTGGGGAGCAGAACAGGCAGACGGACTGAAGACACTGCTATGGGTAGCAGCCGGTGAGGCAGGAGAGGTCTGCAGCACCATGTGGGTATCTCCCTGGCCGGCCGGGAATCAAACCCACGCTGCAGAGGCTGGGGACAGCCTCACAGCACTGTGCTCAACCCACTGTGCCACCGGGGAGGCCTGAGGAAAACTTTTTAAAGTAGATTAAATCTAAGTGGATTAAATTAGTCATATGCAGCAGCACCATGCAAAATTTACAATGTGTGTAATAAAATGTAACCTATGATATAAATAATTTTCATCAAAGTAGTGGATAACCAAGTACAGCATATTAAAACTAAAATAATTCTCTTCTGGAATGTCACTCTTAAACACTACTGATCCTTAGTTTGTAACTATGACATATTATTCCTTACGCTATTTGGAATTATCTGATTCAGGACAGAAACAGTAAGTCTTAGCCCAAATGTGAAAAAGAATCACTTAAGAAAGAATCCAGATGCCAGTAATTCCTAAATACCAACCCATGCCCAACCCAACCGGAAATGGTCCCCAGAACAAACTCTTTAGAAAAATATTTATACTGAATAATAGCTAAGTTACAACCTTCGTGAAATAATTTCGTATGATTAATGTTTTAAAATGTATAATTTCTGCTTAGATGTTATGAGATTTTAGGTAAAAAAAATTTTTAAGAGCAAACTGTTTACTATCAAAATTCACTTAGCAGCAGTAAATGCAATATCAAAACTAAAAACAGCTTTTTTTGGCTTAAAATATTTTTAAATGCTTTTTTGCCTCATCATAGCTATAAAAACAAAACAACATGCAGTTACTATGTGGAAGCCATGGTATTAATTTGAGGAACAGAATCAAATTTGCATGAGAAATCTGTCATTAAATAAGACCATCTAGGGGCCTCCCTGGTGGCGCAAGCGGGGGTTAAGCATCAGCACAATGAAGCTATCCACAGCACAAGTTCTATCCCTGGCCAGGGAGGTGACTCACATGGCTCAGCAGACCTCTCCTGCCTCACCCGCTGCTCCCCTCAGCAGTGTATTTCAGTCAATTCACATGTCCTGCTCCCCACTCTGTTTCTGGTGAATCCTCTTACCCCCTCACCCCCACATCTCTAGCCTGTACCCCAGCTCTTGTATGCATAAATAAATATATCTTAAAAATTAAAAATAAATAAGACCATCTAAAGAAGAGAATAAACAATAAGCAGTTACAATAACATGCAAGAGGTACTATAACAAAAGTATGAACAAAGGACAGACTTAAAAGACTCCTAAACGGTAATGTTTAAAAGGCTGAATGAAAGTTTTCCAGGTACAAAGCATGTGAAAAATATAGTAACATAAAAATAAAGGAGTAATTCAATGGAATATATACAGAAGAAATATGAGGTAGCTAGAATACATGCTGTTTGAGGGAGAAATAGGTGTGAAGAATTCAGAATTTTTAGCACACTTATGGGAGGCACTAAGCCAGATATGATTGGAGTATGGAGAACAAACTTGAACACGCACAACAAAGGGAGAGAATATCAGGAGACTATTATGGGTACCTAGAATGCCAAACTGACAGCAACTGGTAGATAATGCAGAGTTGTAAAGAACAGTGAATTAAAAGCAGAGATTGTGAGGCGTTAAATGCTGCCTCCTCTGCATACCTGGAACATGAGCTTGTGCACAGAAGGGTGAAACAAGATGTCCTATCCCACATGTTCATCTATAATGCATCCCATATGCTCATCTACAATTTAATCCTGACATTCCTCCTACCAAGAAGTAGTAATTTTTGTCTCCACCCCTCTTGTGGGCTTATGACTCACCTGTAAGCACCGGAATGTGGTGAAAGTGCTGTGATGATTTCGAAGGTTAGATAATAAAAACCGTATTCACTGAAATGCTTATGCTTAGAGCCCTGACTGCCTACAGACAACTATCCTACGAATCCTGATGGCCCCAAGACAGTAAGAAAGTCAGTAGAGAAGTACACAATGGTGCTCCATAATCAGTTCTAGTCTTTGAACCTTCTAAGCACCAAACATGATAGTGAAGGACCCTAAGAATTTCCAGCAACCAGCTTTGACTATTTCCAGAAATCACAGAACAGAGACAAGCCATGCTTGCTGTACTCTATCTGAATTCTTAACCCACATGATCCATGAACATAATAAAACAGTTGTTCTTTGTCACTAAGTTTGAGATGGCATGTTATGCAACAAGAGTAATTAGAACAGCCAATTTGTGATTCCATCTATTCATAAATAAAATAAGGTTAAAAAATCCCTATCCTATTAGGTTGTTTAGAAATTTAAAGGAAATATGAAAAAACTTATCACAGTATTCCAGAAATATTACAGGCTCAATAAATATTTATTGTTATTGTCACCTGGTAGAAATAAGGCGTGTCTTTTGTATAAATATTCTGGAAATGAACATAAACGTAAGTGCTAGATTGCATAAAATGATGTTATGACAGAAAATCAATCCCTGTGACAATATGATACCAAACAAATACTATGAAAAACAGAATCTCTGGTTATCACTCAAACTTTAATATTCCTTTAATGATTAAAGCAGGGATAAGAAATTATTTGTAAAGTATTTTTAAATCTCATTCTAAGATACTAAGTTGTGGGAAAAGTGCTTTTGATTAATATTTGAATGTGATAATTCAAATAGGGCAAAGATTTTTAAAAGATTATGCTTCTCTTTTTCTTTTCTATGCAAAAAGTTCTATTTTTTGCTACATGCTTAAAGTGAATTCAAAACTTTAAAAAATCTTATTTATATTGTTAGCCACTTACACTATGCAAATTTTTAGTTTAAAAAGATTTTTTTATTAAAAAAAAATTTTTTTTTATTCCTAAAGGCAATAAATAGTGTTCACAAATATTGGGTATAGTAAAGATGAGTAAAACTTTTTTCCTCCACATAAGACAATCTTACATTACATTACTGAAGATCCATTTTGAACTAAATTTTTATAAACCTTGAAACTGGCAAAAAATTCTTACAGGAAATTAATGTTCTTACAAAGCACTTTTCTAATAACCACAGCAAATTTCAATTGCTGCTGTATCTCTAATACATGTTTTCCTTACCTCTTCATTAATGTCAATAATATCTCCCACTTTTAGCTCCAGTTCATCCTCATTTTGTGGAATGTACTCAAAGAGAACTTTACACTGACGCTTCTTTGTCTCTAAAGGAAGTAACAATAAAAAATTAGGTTAAAAAAGATATTAAAACAAACAGTAACACCTTTATATGTGTGTGTATATATATAAATATATTGTCATAGAATTTATATGCATGAATAAAATCAGAACATACAAACATTCTAAGCAGCTAATCACAATCAGTTCTGGTTGACTTTCCATCCATTCATCACAAAGCAAATTCAAACCAACTACAAATAAGGTATAAGGTTTCTAGCAACAAAATCTATTTATATATTTAATCCCAGTTACACAAAAGCCAAATATCTACTATCCATTTTAAAATTAGAAATACAGCTAAAAGACTGTTGGCATAACAAATTTGTCAAATACAAACCCTCCAAGGCAGTGATTTTCAGATTACTTTCAGATCAAAGTCTAGGAAACTTAAAATGCTGATTTTAAAATATGTTTTTAAAAAAAGGCAAAGTACACAAATCGAAAATAAATTTTCTATTCTTTAACATCTCTATTTTCTGACAGGTGAAAATCAAATTCATATATGGTAAAGATAAAAATAATTTTACTTTAGCTTTTCAAACAAGCTTTATTTGTTTCAGACAACAACAGGGCATTTATAACAATCCAGGCTTGTGATTCCCAACTTCTTTTACTCTTAAAGTTTGAAAACTCACACTCACTCACATCTTTAAAGTGAATCATTAAAGTAGCTATGGCTAGATGACAACATTTACAAGATTAAAGAATTACTTCTCGCTACTCAAAGAGTGTTTCTTATACCAGCATCAACAATATCACCTGGAAACGTCTCAGAAATGTAGTCTATCAGGCTTCATCCCATTCCTACTTTTTATGGACTAACTCATATCCTTCCAAAATTCACATACTGAAGCCCTAACCCCCCAATATGACTACATTTAGAGAACAGACCAGTAGAGGGAGGTAATTACAATTAAGTGAGGTCATAATTGTGTGGCCCTTATAAGCACCCATGCACACCCACGGCCATGTGAGTACAGTCATTGGCACACTAGAAAAAGAGGTCTCACCAGAATCTAGGCCTGAAAAGGCACCTTGATTTTGGACTTCCAGCCTCCGGAGCAGTGAGAAAATAAATTTCTATTGTTGAAGCCACCCACAGTCTATAGTATTTTCTTTTGGCAGCCTTAGCAGAATGGATCAGAATTCCTAATCCACCAATACCCTCAGGTGATTCTCAATGATCTAATTATTCTGATTTCTAATTCCTAGAAAAAGACATGCTTTTTCTTCTAAAACTTAAATCTGTTTCTTTTGCCAAGGACATTTTACTTTCATCCACAAGGTCAAGTCATCTTCAGGTCTCAGCTTAGAAGAAACTTTCTAACAAATAGCTTTCTGGGTTAGTTATTCTTTCTTTGTGCCTTCAAAGCACCCCATATACTCATCCAATTGACTACAGAAACCTGTTACTGACAACTCGTCATTTATCATAATGACCAATTTTCTTGTGAATAAACTCCTTACTCTCTAGATTAAAGATAAATGGGCACTGAAGGTGTAATTGCTCTCTCCCCAATATCTAGAATAGTGCCTGGCTTGTAATGGAAACTATTGGCATTTTTGAATGAATTAATAAACATTGAAGCCTAACAATATGGCATTAGTGTCAAGAAACATTCATCAACACCTAAGATTTTTTTTTAATAATTTAAATGCACACTTAAGGCACTAACAGTACCTAGGACACAAGAAATATGCATAGTAAACAACTGGTGACAAAACACAAATACATAAGAGAGCAAGACATTTAGTACAAATTATAAATACAACCAAAATTGATAGGACAATTTGAATTAGAGCAGATGTGGAAGGCTTCAAAGAAGAATTTGCAAAAATTATAGAATGAAAGATGAACCTGATGCAAAAAAAGAAAGATGTGACAGATATACTACATCAAGAACATAGTTTTCCCAGTGAACCAGGAACTGGTAATACAAGAATCAACAGCAATTATTCTGGCTGGCAACAAAAGAGAATCCCATAAAGTAATCTACACTGGTAGAATTTCACTGCATCAAATCATGACTCCATCTCCAAGTGAATTTTTTAATATACTAAGGAAAGATGCCATGATACAATAGAAATATCACCAGCTTGGAAGTCTGAAGGCATGAGTTCTACCTAGTACATCTGTCATTACCTAGTCCTTTGAACTAAATTCTTCAGAAATCAATTTCCTGAACTATAAGCGCACTGAACTAGTAACCATGACAGTTACTTCAACTCCTATTTTCTTATGCATCTGTGAGTTTATTGAAATAAAAAAGTACATCCAATTGAACCCCCAAATTAACAAAATAAATGCACCTTGCATACAACCAACACTATGAAAGAGGTGCAAAAGAAACATGACATGTAGACCAAAGAATTGATTCTGCAAATAAGAAAGTAACATTTTAGTAATAGTCCCCCACTTCCTAAAGTTTATATCTGATTTCTTAAAATGTTTTATAATAAAAAGAACCAGAGACAGTAAACACTAATCATACTGTTCTAAATAGCCTAGAGAGTGTAGTAAAATTTTTCAAATGTCACTTTTCATCAGGTCTTAAGGTAAATTTTAAGTAATAATTTACTAAGTGATTTTATGTATAATGCAAGAAAACTTCTTGTCCCTTAAAATAGACATCAGTATAGTCCTCTAACAACTTTTGCAAACTATTTACATCATCCTTGAGAAAACGTGTTCATAAATGTCATTATAATAGTTAGCACTTTATAGATGAAAGGGAAATGATCTACATTATTGAAAAATCTATTTTGCCCATCTCCAAGTGAATTTTTTAATGTACATATCAAAGGAGAAAATATTTTCTATCTTTTTGGTAACTTTATATCTTTTTAAAAATGGATCTCTGTTCTTCTTAATGAATGCCAACTATTTTTAATGATTTAAAGTGAATGAAAAATGTAAATTATACTCCTCATTACCAAGCATAGCAATTAACTTCCAGCAGTCTACTTACATTATAACCCAAGTGTTGTTGTTTTTTTCCTTCTCGCACTATACATAATTCTATAGAATTGCTTTTACCAAAGTACTTTGCAAAATTATTTGAAAAGGTTATTTTTCATTTTTCAAAGGGAAGAGGTATAGTGTATAAAAACACCACCTACTATAACCACCAACTGCAATTATTTAATAAAGAAATGTTTTTCACATAGCTTTCCAGATCACAAAATAATTAAAAAGCATCATTAGCAATATTTTGTTAAGTAAAGCTAATAATAAAAAAAGTTAAAGGAGGGACAGCAAAGGCATGAAAATATTTCATACCTTTTATGTACCAGTACTATTCTAAGTTCTTCACAAATTTCTTCCACACAAATGATCATATAAATTTGTTACTATCATTTTACTAAAGACAAAACTGGCATTCAGAATTTAAGTACTGTCAAAGAGCACAGAGTTCTAAAAAGAGGCAAACTAGAATTACATGCACTTCTGACTATCACCTTTCCACAAAATCATACTGCCTTCTTTTATAGTTACAAAGTGCTTTAACCCAGCTCATATAGTAGTAGCCAAGAAGGAGCCTCTTGCCCTGAAAATACCCTACACCTGCTTATATCTCTAGACCTTCCAAAGGTAGCAATTCATAATCCCCATCTACATGTGAATGATAGATATGTCCTACAAAGAAGAGTTTAAATACACGTTGCTTGAGAACCTCAGGATAGAAATGCCCCTTCATCTGAATCATAACCATGTAACTAGTCATATATCATTATTATAATTCCCTTAAAATTTCTGGGGAGATAAAAATCATTATTACTATCTCTGTTTTATGGTAACTTAATGTTCACCCATTAAACTGAGCTTTGGGTCATGATCTATATCCAGCTTTATTTGGCTTATTTGATTGTTCTCGTGGTCTTTGCACCCAAAAGTATAAGGCAACTAGCATATAAATGCCAAAAAAATTTCAGAAACTTTTTAGAAAAGTCTATCTTTTTTGAAAAACAAAACCAAATTGTGTGAAATGTGAAGTTATTTTCCTTATTTTCAACTAAAACAGAAAATCCTAACTTCTAAATATAAGTCATCAAGAATGGCAAGTATTTATTTCATGGTTCTGAAAAAGAGATCTATAAATTCAAATCAAACAGATCTCTTCAATTATGGAACCATTTCTTACGATTATTTTTAATCTTTCCATCAAAGACTAAAATGAAGAACTTGGCACTCTTAGGAGCTGAGAGGTTGAATGTTAAAACTTCAGAAATAGCAGCAAAATAATTCCTGATTCATTTTTTGGTTCGCTTTGGTCCGGTTTTATTGCAACACTAAGATTTTCCTAATATGTAAAAAATTATCAATGTCTTTCTCTAGTCTACAAAAAGCACATTAAGAAACATAGTGATTCTGTCATTTACTGTACAATTAAATATTTATAAAAATTCTTTCTTATCCTCAGCAATAAAACACTGTAATACTTATACCAATAAATGAAAGATTCAAACTGTTCAAGATACTACCTATTTTGCTGTGCTACTATTTGATTAAGACAAATTCTTAGAAAATACTGTATTATCACCATCATGAAGCAAACTTAATGATTTTAGGGGAAAGTGTATTATGTCTACAATACACTGTCAACGTATTCAGTTAAGTGTATTTAATTAGAGATAAAGTCAACATGACAAAATGTTAACAGCAAACTAACATGAAGGGTATATGTGCTCACTGCATGACTGTATCAACTTTCCTGTAGATTTAAAATTTTTCAAAAGAAAAAAGAAAATTTGAACACTCTACCCCATTCATTTGAGAGGCTAAGATGAGGTGGCATCATATGATTTTTTTCCCCAGCATGCGTTAAAGTCTTTCAAAATCAAAGAGCAGAATCTGAAGTAATGTGCTCCATTGTTTCAAAATGTGTGCTTAAAGGTGTATAGTCAGTTAACATTTCTGATGGCATTCAGAATTTTCATTTTTCTCAACACTAACTCAAATAAGAAGGCGTATTAATTGCTACTTTTTTCTGGATATGAAACACTATAGATTGACATTCTGGTCACCTAATTTTTCGTGTAGCCACATCATTTCTTTATGACACATATACTAGTGGTCAATTAGGATCAATCTTAAGGTAACTTTGACATTCAAACTAATTATCAACTAGATGAAAAATTTTCTGCAGCATGAGTTTCCACTAAGTAGGAAAAGAAAGTTATAAGTAATAATATCTTCCTTGTGCCAAGAACAGATTCGTATCTGAAACCAATCTTTTCCAAACAGTAAAATATCTACTAATATTCTATAATGAATGTTATTTAGTGTTGTGATATGAAAGATATCAATTCTTTACTAAGCAAACTATTCTACTGCTATCTTTGTACCTGATTTTATAAGGGCCTCTAGCAATAATATGACTTGTACATGTTTTTGTTTCAAGAAGTGTAAATTTGGGCCTCCCCTGGTGGCGCAGGCCATTGAGCACCGCGCTGTGAAGCTGTCCGCAGCCTCTGTAAAGCCGGTTCGATCACGGCCGGCCAGTGAGGGTCATACATGGCACGGCAGACCACTCCTGTCTCACCCGCTGCTCCCCTCAGCAGTGTATTTCATCAGTCTGCCTGTTCTGCTCCCCACTCTGTCTCTGGTGAATCCTCTCACCCTCCCACGCACCTGGCCTGTACACGGGTTCTTGTATAAATAAATAAATATTTAAAATAAGAAGTGTAAATTTGTGCTCTTCTGTAACTTAGCAACTTATAGCAATCAACCTTGTTCTGGAAAACATTATTCTGTACTTGCTCTGGAAAATAACTGTTTTAGCAAAGAAGTTGCCTTGCTTAATTTACATGTAACAACAAAAGTTTCAATGACTTCATAATTAGACTTCACCAAAAAGCCAACAATTTCTTTCTCTAGTCTTCACTAGAGAAAAATAGCTCACTAGTTCTGCAAAGTCAAGTTTTTAGACATCTAATATCATGCTATCTTATTTGAATATTCTTTTTAGTTGCTTAGACAAAACTCAGTACACATGCAGATTCATTTGTCTGCGATTTAAATTGAACTTTCATACTACACTGTTTACCATTCAACTTTACAATGGTTTGGAGAATTTTTTTAAATAATGATAGCATTGGTTAGTTGTACCCAGTACTATATGGAATTACAATGAACCACTTTTGAATAACCTATTCTGCGAATTAAGGATATGATGTAAACTAACAGTAACAAAAAGATTCAGATTTTTTTAAAAATTAGCTTGTTTTTCCTGGAAAAGCAATCTGAAAGCAAAAACAACCTGCATCCTGTTTTAAATGTTAGCTAGCACCAAATGACCAAATTAATCCTTGCAGCAAATTCACTTAAAAACAAGTTATAGAGGATTCTTAGGAAAATACCCGAGCCTTATAGCACCCACTGTATAATTGTTTTTCCTTCTCACAATAAAACGAATTATGGCCAGTAGTTATGAGAAAAATAAACTTTAGTTTGTCCTTTCATGTTAGGAGACTAAATAAATAAAGTACTCACAATCCCAAAGCTCTTTGTTTAGCCTCTACTCAAGAAGAAACTTGTTTCTGTATAGTTCAGAAAAGCTAAAGAAAAGTAGTAAATGAGTTTTATAATAGGCAGAGGTCATAGATAGCCATTCCAAGGTCCTAAAAATTTTTCTTGTACACAGAAATTCTATCAGAGGATCATCTGAAGGATGTTAACATACACTCTATTATCCATGCCTCAAGTTCTAAGTAAACAGTTTCAGAGTCTAGAGCAATCAAAACTACTAAAACAGTCCGCCTTCAGGCAGTAGGCTGAAAGCATTACAGATAATATCTAAACATTGTTCATACAATGCATTTACAAAGTACAGATAAAACCCTTTAATTTGTCTTAGTGTCATGAAATTTTTTTTTCATTTTATGAAAATAAAGGATATACTCCAGGAAGTAAAGGCTTCTCCAAACAGATAGTAGTATAGAAGGTATTAGGTTGAAAAAAATAAAAAGAATTGTAACAGGTTGAGATTTATGAGGACTCTAGAAAAATCAAAAGTAGTCTTACTGTTGTGAAATGTATGTAAACAAAATTTCTTTATTATAGACTACTTGGTACTTCAAAGGATTTAGACACTGATTCTAAGATATTTATGGTTAAATAGTCATTTAATAGTAAATCAAATTGAACACAGAATCAGTATTCAATCTCTCAAGGGGCTTTGGGTTTTTCCTACTTTAAAATATTATCAGCTTCCATAAATATACTTGTTTAATAAACATCTTTATTACTTTAATAGCTATCTTTCCCAAGACTATAAGCTTGGACAGGACAACACTATTACCTGTCTTTCTCAACTACTCACTCACTAGCAGCAAGAGTTTCAATGATCTAAGACCGTAAGATTCACACTCATATCTGATTCAAAAAGTGGTGCTTTTCCTCCACACAAAATCGTTCTAACACAATTAGTGTACCACACACTTAAAAGGTATTATGTGAGCCCAATCACCTTGGAAATTAGAACATATATGTTCAGATGTTTAACTACTAAAGAAAACATCCCATCAAAATTCTTGCATCTATCGTACTTAAGGATGAGCAGATATTCTAGCAAACCATTAAATTAATGGCCTTACAACAAATTTAAGGCAAATGTAAACTATTCAATGGTGCCTATAAGAGTAGTAAGAAAACAAACCTTCACATTTTCATTTGTAATTACTATAGAGAGTTGTCAGCAGTTCATGCTGGATAATCATGTTAACAACTAACTATAGGGTCAGAAACTAATAACATGAGAATAAGCAGAATGTTATTATAGTATGCTGCAGAAAGTTGATGGTCTTTCTTAACATAATTTAAGTTAGAAAACATCTTTCTATTTTGACTAAACATAAAAATAATTATTTACATACTCTTCTTAATGGTTTTGGTTTGTGGATGTGGCTGAATTCCTCCAGCTGGAAGTCCATAGGTGCTTATTCGTTGCACAAGACTTGCTACATTCCCATGCCGTTCACGTTTGATGGGCAAACTATCTTCCTTGGATTCGGTCTCTCTCTTAATCTCCTACAAAAGAAGAAATCAGTAAATAGACCAATTAAGCTGTATTTTATTAAATTCCCAAATGTAAATTACCAAAAAACAGGTAAAGTGATTATTATTTGAAACCTGAGGGCAACAGTTTACAAACTTTTTCTCTCCCCACACTATCAACAGAATGCAACACAATATGGTAATAGTGATTCGTTATGAGTTTATGTCTTGACAGAACCATCATGAAAATACGAAATTTTACTGACACAAAAGGACACAAATGAAAAGGAGATACAATTAGGAGACAAATAAAAAGAAAATTATGCTGTGTTCAATAACTGAAAACTCATAAAGATGCCAATTCTCTCTAAAATTGATATAACAGTACAATGTAATTTCAATAAATATATCAGATTTGGGAGAGCAATTCAATAAACTACTTCTAAATCTGTATAAAAGGAAAAAAGGCCAAAGCCAGAATTATTTCAAGGGGGAAGGGAGAAAGTGAGGAAAATTTTCTTTAACCAAGATATAAGAAAAAAAAAATATAATAGATAGTACAAATGTGCGTGGTACTGGTATAAAAACAGACATATTGATAAATGAAACAAAGCAGAGTCCAAAAACAGAAAAATTTGACTTAGACAAAAAGTGAGAGGAAAAGTTGATTACTAAAATACATGGTGCTGATAAAACTAATGTTCTATAATTTAAGGGGAAAGGAATGAAATTAGATTCCTACCTTCCATTTGATATTAAAATTAACAATTTCTGTTCATAAAAATAAACATAAAAAAGCAAATCATTAGCTAGAAAATATTTTTCACATAACAGGTTCACAAAGAATTTGTATCTCCAGGTATTTATGGCTACCCACAATCTTTAATCATTTTGTTATTCTATGGTTGGTAGGGTATCAGATAATTTTGATTTCTTTACACTGCAGACAAATTATAATACATGAATACTTGCTTTTGGGGGGCCTTTTTAACAATACATATCACTTTGCCATCAGAGAAAAAAATATTCTCATATTGGACAAACTATTTGAAGTTGATGCAGAATTATGAAAAAGCAATGAAGGGGCCTCCCTGGTGGCACAAGGAGTTAAGTCTCAGCTGTATGAAGCTATCCACAGCCACTGCAGTGCAAGTTTGATCCCTGGCAAGGAAGGTGACCTACATGGCGCAGCAGACCTCTCCTGTCTCTCCCACCGCTTCCTTCAGCAGTGTTATTTCGGTAGATCTGCTTGTTCTACTCCCCACTCTGTCTCTGGTGACACCTCTCACCCCACTCCCAACCTCTGGCCCACACCCCAACTCTTGTATGCGTAAATAAATCTTTAAAAAAAAAAAAAGAAAAGAAAAAGCACTGGAGTTCAAATAATAAAATACACAAAACATTTCACAACTTAGAGTGCTTCAATTTTATTGGTAATGTACTTAAGGAAAAGTACTCAATTTGCTATTAATAATACATGATACATCAACATCTAAAATCCTTGCAGTTTTCAGACTGCACTTAAATATTTCTGAAGCTAATGAAAACAAAAGCTATGCAATGACAGGCATTTACAACCTCAACATGCCAAAGTTATTCTTCATTTCAGATTCTCCTGTCTCATGAACTACCTACTTTCCTAAAAATTAAGTAAACCATACCTCAGAGAGGGATTGTAGATCAGAAGATCGAGATTTTGGCTTGACAGCCAAATCTTGTTCCCCTAGGAAAATGACTGCAATTTGACCAGTCATGATTCAGAAGAAAAATTCAGGGAACAGATGACTGGGTTTGTATCTTAGTTCTATACTGCTCACTAAGCATGTAACTTTTGATATTTGTGATCTTTTAATAAGACCTACATAAACAAATATAATAATTCTAAGACATTGTCCCATTTCTTTTCTACCCCCATTCTTGTATGCATAAATAAATAAATCCTAAAAAAAAACAAAACAAATTTTCATCCATGAATATTATATGTAGTAAGTCTTCTGAACATTAGACATAATAAATCTGATACAAAGGTGGGAAAGCAAGTTAAAAACATATACCATCTACACTGAATAGGGAAAACTCAGTTTTACAGTCCTAGCAAACAGTGCCAATTAAGTGCTGTTACCACAGCAGCATAGGGCCACAAAGCTCTGGCAAAATTACAAACAAGGTAATAATGTTTGCTTTAGGCTCTATTCTTTCTCTGGAATCTCTTTCTGCTGCTACAAGCCACCAGCACTAAAATCATTCATTCTGATACCTTCCCTTTCTCTCTTCGCTCACATCGACTCCCCTTTAGCTCCTGGACACACAGAGTCTCCAAATTACACTTGGTAAATTTTACTGAGTAAATTTACTGAGAACCCATGACATATTAATAAGACTTCTAGTATTCTTCCGCCTCCTGTCCTTCATTTCCTTTTACGCAGTCAGTAAATAAACTGCCAATCTTTTTTCTGCCAACTCCAATTTCTTTCCTGACTTTTGGAGATCCAGTCAGAGTCCTCAATTAGAGAGTATCATGTGCTGACAAAGCAAATTCAGAAATGCTCTCTCACTGTTTAGACTAGGTAATGTCAATACAGAAGTGGCCAAGAAAAAAATACATGGAAAATCTCCACATAGGGAAGATGTAATTTGTTTCACAAATAAGGAGTAGGAAGTAGCAAATTAAAGGAAGATGGAAAATATAAACAAATGGAGGGAGGGACTTAAAAGGCTGGAGAGGATATATTCTTCATCTATTAAGGAAATCAACGATACTGACCTTTAAGTGCACTAACCAAAAAACATATAACTTATAAAAGATATAAAAAATATAAGACAACTTATAAAAGATAATCAAAATTTACAAACCACTCAATCAGTACTATAAACACATAATAATTTGGTTATATGATCAAGGCTAGTGGATTATCATGACGTGAAAACAGAAAGCAGTAACTTCTATAATATATAACTCACAAAGAATAATAAAAACCAGATTAGAGGTCCAGAATTACTTTGTATTTCTCAAAAGAGGTTATCTAGTCACCAAATTCTAAACAGAGTTCAGTTCTGCGTATGCTAAATAAAATATAAGGAATATATTTAATTATTTTTAATTTAACATTCAGGATTCCCAAAGATATGATATACAGCTAGTACCTCCCACTTTAAAGAAGCATATAAAATCAGAATACATGGAAAGTGAGATTACAAAATAATAAGGAAAATAAGCAACATTAAATGTTTATGTGTACAACCTGTTTTAGCTTTGATTAAAAAGTCAACATTACATAGATCCTCATTTGAAACATTAGGTTTCCAACCTAACAAAATGGTTTTGCTCCATTTCAAAAGTTTATATTGATATTTTGTTTTTCTGGAATATACATGATCATATGTAAGGAATGATCCAGACTACAAGTCATTTGATTTTTCATTTTATTATGATTAAGCTGAACTGGAAATCATAAAAACCCCTAAGTTCAAAGTAAAATAATGAACAGGAAAACTCTCCTTAATATCAAATAAATGTGTACCTTCAGAGTGTAAACATATCAAAATCATCAAGATAGACAATGATAGCATAAGTATTTTGCAAGTGTCTAAATTTATTTTATATCCTTATATCCACTCCCCCAAGTATGCTGCTTGCCATATTACTGCTATCTTTCCAATTTGGACAAAGGGCCTCCCTATTTCAACTGCCCCTCCCCCATTTAGAAAAGGCAAAAGTAGGGTAAGAGGGGAAAGTTATGTACATTCATTGTCCATGGCATCCTACTCTTTTCCTTTTTCTATTACAAGAATGTTAATGAAAGCCATGTGAAGTCAAGTGGGAAAAACATTAAAGAAAGAACTCTTCTCTTACCAATATTCTTCCATACATATCATTTTCAGTGAAATGTATTAAAAACACCCCAATAATTCACAATGGTCACATTTCTTAAGCTAGTTTTATTGGTTTAAAAAAAATGTTATTTGTGCTTCAAAGTCTTATGATGAAGGGGGAGTTAGAATTAAAAAATGTAGGAGCTGAGGACTACTATGTCTATGGCTCCAAAGATACCAAGTCTGCAAGGAGATTCTTCTCTCATAGCTACAAGATTACTTCAGGCCACAGGTGACACTGACAAGCAACCACTGACTGCTGATTCAAGAAGCAAGACTAGGAGATAAACCAGAAACTCGGGTCCTGGTATTCAAGCTTTCCTGCTTTAAATTATTTCTACAACTTTAAGTACCTTAGCACAAACAAAATAATACATTATAAAATATTTCATGTGTCCACAAATAATAATGCTGTAAGTCAAACTATTCCAGGTTATTTCAAAATAACTGAGTTATATATACACATTACTACATGTAAATCCTTACACATTTTTTCTAGCATACATTTATCAACCTATTTCTAAATGTGAATATAGTCTATTTAGGATTCAGAATAATCCAAATCACAGAATAAATTGTGCTTAGCCAGTGTGTAATGTTTTAAGGTATCTAACAAAAATGTACTATGATACTCAACTTTGATACTTCATCTGTTTGTTTTTTAAAAGATTTATTTATTTATGCAAACAAGTGCAGGCCAGAGATTTGGGGAGTGAGAGGATTCACAAGAGACTGAGTGGGGAGCAGAACAGGCAGACTGAACAAAATACACTGCTGAGGGGAGCAGAGGACGATATAGCAAAGGTCTGCTGCACCATGTGGGTCACCACACTGGCTGGGGATCGAACTCATGCTGCAGTAGCTGCAGATTGCTTCATAGTGCTGACACTTAACCCCTTGCGCCACCAGGGTGGCCCCCATAACAAGTTTTTTAAAAAGTTATTTTTATACTATTTCTAAAAGGAGAAAACTTCAATAATTCTGAGTTCTTAGACTTTTACAGATGTACATTACAATCTCCATTAAAATGCATCATGATCTAGAGGTTCCCCATATGAACACAATAGACTTACTTTTCCCATTTCTCCCACTCAGTACAGTTTAAAACTTTGGATATTACATATCAAAAATAAATAAATAAATTCTGAAAGGTGATAAAAAGGTAGGTAGGTCAGTCAGGAAGAACAGGTTCCCCTTTATTCCAATTCACAGCAAGTGCATTTATAGACAAAATCTGTCACAACTGCATGCAACAAGTTTGCTGGCTATTTTTCTAACAGCGTGTGCCCATTTCATGTCTGTTTCACACTGGTAATTCCCACCATATTTCAAACTTTTTCATTATTACTGTATCTGTTATGGTGATGATCTGTGATTACCGATCTTTAATGTTACTACTGTAAATTTTTCAGGGCACAATGAAATGTGCCTATAAGATAGCATACTGACATATATATATATATATATATATATATATATATATATACACATTTAAAAAAACAAGACCAATGAAAGACATACTGAAAATCAAAACTTTAAAACTTAGGATTTAAGCTTAAATCATAAGAGAGTATCTTTAATCACCTCCCTGCTCCTAAGCTAGACAAGTCACAAGAAACACTTATGAAGGATGAAAGATATATAATCAAGAAGACTACAAAGAGCTAGTATTCTCAATATATTAGGAACTACTACAAGTCAATGAGAAAATAAGCAAGAACTAACTCAACAGAAAAAAAGAAGAAAGGAAAGGCAGGAGGGAAGGAAAGAAGAATGAAAATCTAATGGTATTAAACCCTAATTAGAATAAAGAATAAAGGAACTTTTGTGGTACTGCTAAGAGTCAGTGACAAATTTAACATCTATGAAGTTGAATATGTACATACCCCTGGAAGCAGAAAATTCTTAACTATACAGATGGCCCCTGACTTTTTTTGACTTTAGGATGACACAAAAACAATATGCACCCAGTAAAAACCATACTTTTCTGGGGCTAGCAATATGTGATACTATACTCTTGTGATTTTTGGCAGCAACAATGAATCCCAGTACCTGGTCAATCACCAGGGTAAACAACCAATAATCTACAGTGTACTACGTTGCTAGCATGTTCTTGAATATTGTGTTTTGTGTTTCACATGCCATCATGTCTGTTTTTTTACTCTCAACATAATAATCAATAAATTACATGAGATATTCAACATTTTATTATAAAGTAGATTTTGTGTTCAATGATTTTGTCCAACCGTAGACTAATGTAAGTAGTCTAATGTAGGTAGTCTAAACTAGGCTATGATATTTAGTATGTCAGTTATATTAAATGCAATTTCCATTTATGATAGGTTTATAGAAATGTAATCCCATTTTTTAAAAGATTTTATTTTATTTATACATACAAGAACTGGGGTGTATGCCAGAGGTGTTGCGGGGGGAAGAAGATTCACCAGAGACAGAGTGGGGAGCAGAACAGGCAGATCTGAAATACACTGCTGAGGGAAGCAGCGGGTGAGACAGGAGAGCTCTGCTGTGCCTTGTGGGTCAGCACCCTGGCCAGGGATCGAACGCATGCTGCAGTGGCTGGTAGTAGCTTCATAGTGCTGAGACTTTACCTTTAACCCCTGCGCCATCAGGGAGGCCTCAGATGTAATCCCATTTAAATGAAGTTCTGCATATACCCTATAAAAGGATATTAATTGCAGCACTGTTTTTAAAAGCTAAAAGAAATTTAGAACCCTAAATATACATAAAATCTCAGAGACATACAGCAAAATACTATGCAACTGTTAAAAAAAAAATTAACTAATGCTAAAGGAATTTCTATTTTTTAATAAATTTTATTTTTATATTCCCCATACAATTGCAACCCCTTTATTTTGACCCCAATCCCTCTCCTCCCCTCCCCCACCCCCCATAAAGTATCTCTGGTTCATAGTTTTTGGTTGATTTTGATTTTCACTTTCTTATAGTTATTCATTTTCCTGGTCCCTTATTTAAGTTTTCTAGATTCCTGCTATGAGTGAGACCATCCGGTATTTTTCTTTTTCTTTCTGGCTTATTTCGCTGAGCATGATCCCTTCCAGCGCCATCTATGTTGCTGCAAATTATCTTTTATCTTTTTTGAATGCTGAGTAATATTCCATGGTGTATATGTACCACATCTTCTTGATCCAGTTATCTATTTTTGGGCATTTGAGTTGTTTCCATAGCTTAGCTATTGTAAACAGTGCTGCTATAAACATAGGGGTGCAGGTGCTCTTTGGAATTGATGTTTCTGTGTCCTTCGGGTAAATAGCTAGGAGTGGAATTGCTGGATCACATGGGAGCTCTGTTTAGTAGGTCCAGAAATCTCCACACAGCTCTCCACAGTGGTTGGAACAGTTTGCACTCCCACCAACAGTACAGGAGAGTTCCTTTTTCTCCACATCCTCGCCAACATTTGTTATTGCTAGTTTTTTTTAATATGTGCCATTCTCACTGGTGTAAGATGGTATCTCAAAATATGGAACGCTTCACGAATTTGCGTGTCATCCTTGCGCAGGGGCCATGCTAATCTTCTCTGTATCATTCCAATTTTAGAATATGTGCTGCCGAAGTGAGCACGCTAAAGGAATTTCTACCATAACACTATATATGCATTACTACACAATGGATATTTTGAAAAAAATCACAGCATATACCACTGATTATGTGAAAACTTCCAAATCAAACACTAAAAATTGTGATTAAGTTTAATTCCCTACTATATAGCTTTTCTCAGTTGTTTTCTGAGATAAATCATATGTAGTTAGTTCTCTAAAGTCAACTAACAAAGTGTTCACACTTAAGAGATAAACCCACAACTAAAAGACAAATTTATCCAGAAAACAAATATTTATTATAAAGCACAGTACTTCACAGGTGTTCTAACAACGACTATGCAGGTTCAAAAAAATGAGGGGGTCTCCCTGGTGGCCTAGGGGTTAAGTCTTAGCACTGCTATTGCTGGGGTTTAAACCTGATCAGGGAGCTAACCCACATGGCTCAGCAGACCTCTCCTGTCTCTCCTGCTGCTCCCCTTAGCAGTGTATTTCAGCAGATCCACCTGTTCTGCTCCACACTGTTTCTAGTGAGACCGCTCACCCCCCACACCTCTGGCCTACACCCCAGTTCTTCTACGCATATATAAATCAATCTTTAAAAAAAAAAAACCACACATACTCTAGTCTTTCCAGAAGAATTCAATCATAATCTAATGAGACCAGGCATACAGTTCTGCATTTAAGAAATTTTATACATAAGACAATTACAAGTGTAATTATATTCTTTTTCCTTTGTAAACTATTAAGAACTTTGATAGTTTTTAAAAGAAGAATATTGATTGATTTTTGGCAGAGATGATGCAACTATTTACTTAAAAAGGAGTTTGATGACAACTGAAGACTAACTGTTACTGATGGCGAAATACTGCAATGCTTAAGTTTAAAAATAGGAACTTAATACATTCTCAAAGAGGCTGGAAAAGCTACAAAGACATTAGATTTTTCAGCAAAGAATAAACTATCTGAGGGATCTCCCTGGTGGCACAGGGTGTTGGGACGCAACCTATGAGGCAGTCCACAGCCTCTGCAGCATGAGTTCGATCCCTGGCAAGGGAGCAACCCGCATGGTGCAGCAGACCTCTCCTGACTCGCCCGCTGCTCCCCTCAGCAGCGTATTTCAGTCAATCTGACTGTTCTGTTCCCCACTCTGTCTCTGATGAGCCCTCTCACCCCCATGCCTCTGGCCTGTACCCCAGCTCTTGTATGCATAAATAAACCTTTAAAAAAAAAGAACAATGACTCCCTTGTTAAAAAAAGAATAAACTATCTGAGATTTCCATTCAGATTCTCCCATTAATTATCCATGTTAAGTAAACCATTTAGTCTGTATGTCACCATATTTAAAATGGGGCTATTATCTGCTCTACTTCACATGACTTTTGTAGGTTCAAATGAAAACATACACAATAAAAGGACCTTGTAAATTACCAACTACTACCCTATAGCAAAATACTATTTTTAGAAAAGATTAGTAAACAGGTGTATTCACTAGGACACCAAGTAACAATTACATCCATTATAGCATTACAGTGGCATTTACAGACCTCTAATTAATTCTGCAGAATAAAAATTTTATCTTAAACACCTTAAACATACTCACGTATTTCTTAAAAATTAAATCCAATTAAGTAACAGTGAGAAATTTAACTGAAAATACTTACCTTAACAAAATTATCAGGAAACATTCCTCTTCTCCCATTTAGTTCTCCCTCTAACCATCCTTCCTCCTGCAGCTTTTTCACATTCCTGATGATTTCCCCAACTCGAATAGTTAATTCATCTTCATGTGCAGCATCATAGTCATACTCCACAATAAAGTCAACTAAAAAAATAAATAAATGCTTAAAACTTATTTCATGAAATACTACTGACCATACTAGTAACTTAAAACTAAGGAATTCACATAGCAACAATATTACAAAGACATCATTAAGGCTTGTCTCAATGATTTTATATATTTGCTGTATCAGCAGATTTCTTGATTGCCTTATGATAAAGCACAACACAAGTTTTAAGTAAAAGCCGTAATACAATGTATAATCCATGCCATCATGTACTTATAGTCAGATGAATAACCTCTGTGGCAAACTCTAAAGCGGTCCCCATTTCTTCATATTATGTCCTGTGTAATTCTCTGGAGTATGGACGTAACCTATGACTGATTTCTAAACAACAGAATATTACAAAGATGACAGATTGTATGTGACTACTTAAGACTGTGTCCATCTTTTTTTTTTTAAAGATTTTATTTATTTATTTATTTATTTGTTTGTTTATTTATTTATTTATTTATGCAAGCACTGGGTACAGTCAGAAGCACAGGAGAGTGAGAGAATTCACCAGAGTCAGAGCGGGGAGCAGAACAGGCAGAAGGACCGAAGTACACTGCTGAGGGGAGCAGCGGGCAGCAGGAGAGGTCTGCGCACCATGTGGGACCCTCGCCCGGTGGCCGGGTATCGAACCGGCGCTGCAGAGCTGTGGACAGCTTCGCAACTCAGCGCTCAACCGCTGCGCCACCAGGGAGGCCCAAGACTGTGTCCACCTTGCAGGGAAATTCTCTCACTGGCAGTTTTTAGAGACATGAGTTGCTATGAGATGAGCTGGCCTACTTAAAGATTACAAACCAGGACCTCCCCTGGTGGTGCAGTGGTTGAACACTGGGTTGCGAAGCTGCCCACAGCCTCTGCGGTGCCGGTTTGGTCCCCAGCCACCAGAGAGGGTCCCACATGGTGCGCAGACCTCTCCTGCCACGCCTGCTGCTCCCCTCAGCAGTGTACTTCGGTCCTTCTGCCTATTCTGTTCCCCGCTCTGGCTCTGGTGAATCCTCTCACCCTCCTGCACTTCTGACCGTACCCAGTGCTTGTATAAATAAATAAATCTTTAAAAAATTAAATAAAATAAAAAATAAAAATCCATGAACGGATGTATATAGCAAGAACTACAAGAAAAACCCAAATGTCCTTCAATGGACAAATGGATTTTTAAAAAAATGTAATATAGTCATACAATGAAATAGTTAGCAATAAATAGGAACAAACTCTCGATTCAAAAGTAATTTGAAGGCTGCCCTGGTGGTACAAGGGGTTAAGTCTCAGCACTATCAAGCTATCACCAGCCACTGCAATATGAGTTTGATTCCTGGCCAGGGAGCTAACCCACATGGCACAGCAGATCTCTCCTATCCCGCCCCTCTCAGCAGTGAATTTCAGTCAATCTGCCTGTTCTGCTCCCCACTCTGTCTCTGCTGAATCCTCTCACCCCCCCACCCCCTGTACTTCTGGCCTATACCCCAGTTCTTGTACGCATAAATAAATAAAATGAATCTTCAAAAAAAAAATAATTTGAATGAATCTCAAGGGCATTCTATTAAGTAAAAGAGGCAAATTTCATAAACGTACCAATTGCATAATCTCATAAGGCATTCTCAAAAAGACAAATCTATAAAAAGGGAAACCAGATTGCTGGATGCCAGTGGACTAAGGAGTTTGAGGCTACAAAGGGTAACAATAGGAAGTTTTTAAGGTAATGATCTGAATTTTGTGTGCTGGCTACAAAAATCTATGCAATGTGTTAAAATGAACAGAACTATACACGCTACAAAAGTTCATTATCCTTTATGTCAATTTGACAAATATAATCAAAAAAGAATAATAAAGATAATTATGTAGACCTAAAAAATGTCATTTTGTAATGCTGTTAAGAGCAAAATATTCTGGGGCCTCCCCTAGTGGCGCAGGCAGTTGAGCACAGCACTGTGAAGCTGTCCACAGCCTCTGCAGCACCAGTTCGATCCCAGCTACCCTGCGAGAGTCCCACATGGGGCGACAGATCTGCCTCGCCCGCTGCTCCCCTCAGCAGTGTATTTCATCAGTCTGCCTGTTCTGCTCCCTGCCCTGTCTCTGTTGAATCCTCTCACCCTCCTGCGAATCTGGCCTGTACCCCGGTTCTTGCATAAATAAATAAAATAAATCTTTAAAAAAAAAAAGAGCAAAATATTCTAAAACTTCTGATATCAATGGGATATGGTTCAACAAATTATCCAGGAAAAAAGTTCATGATAAATAAAAGGCACATTATAAAGTGGCATTCTATCTTAATTTCTGTAACAGGGAAAAGGGAGGTAGAGATGTACTTAGAAAAATTAGAATACAGAAATTCATAAACCAAAATGTTGAATGACATTAAATTACTCTTATAACGTTACAGAATTATACTGACTTGACTTGACTTTCATATATTCCATTCACTTTAATGAAATCTATACTCAAAAGTCCAACCTTCATTTCAGCACAGTCCATGCTTTCTTTAGAAAATGAGCTTGATGTAAAAATTAATTTACACACATTAAAACAGCATTCTACTTTTTAATTTCTTTCAGGTAATTAAACTACACTAACTTCCCATTTATTATAACTAAATGAACCAAATTTTTATGAAGTCAGTAAACTTCAAAATAGATTTATCCCAGATATTTGAGGATTTGTGTCACCATATGAATAGCCAGCCTAATACAAAATACTGAAATTATTTATTTCACTTATCAATTCTATTATCTCCAGAAGCAATGCATGTATATAGTTCATCTAGCAATCTACTTCAAAAGCATGTCAAAAAATCGAACACCTCAAAGCAGCCTACAGGGTGACAATGAAAAATATAGATAAAAGCCATAAGAAATTACAGAATACACAAATCAATATCGATTTGTTGTCAAATGAATATTCTAAAAAGTTGGGTCCAACCCAGAAGCTTAGAGACATGGGAGAGCTTAAGAACTAGGCTGGTTCTGGTATATGCTATATTAAGTTCCAACCCTAAATTCTCAAGGAAATAAAGATATTTCTATCTAAAATAAAAATGAATTCCTCAAGAAATTTTCTTAATCAACATATCAGTAACTCAAAAATAAAATCAGAAAGCCAAAAATGTCTCAAAAACAATTCCAAAAAATAGATGATTTTGTTTTTTAGATTTAGCATACAAGAGATGAGGTGTTGGCCAGAAGTAGGGGCAGAGGGATGTGAGAGCATTCACCAGAGGACAGAGTGAGGAGCAGAACAGGGGGATTGACTGAAATACACTGCTGAGGGGACCAGCAGGAGAGACAGAGGAGGTCTGCTGCACCATGTGGGTTAGCTCCCTGGCCAGGGATTGAACTCATGCTGCAGTGGCTGCTGATAGCTTGATAGTGCTGAGACTTAACCTCTTGAGCCACCAGGGAGGCCCCAAAATAGATGTTTTTTTTTTTTTTTCTGACAGTTAATTCTTTCAAACCTACCAAAGAACACAAAACAAGTCTACAAAGTATTATTTTAAAATATTCATTATTTTAAACAATTGGAATGATATTAAGAACAAAGAATGTACCCAGAAAAGTACTCTCTCCAACAAAGTTCAAAATAAAATGCCAATAAAGGGAATGCAAATGCATAATTGGATAATTACATACTACAAATAAGCAAGGTTCATCACGGGCTAGTTTTAAAGTTGGAAAACCTAATTTACCATGTAGATGAAATAACAAAAATCCATGATCCAGATTCTGAAATAACTGTCAATGAAAGTGTGTGCGCGCGTGTGTGTGTGTGTGTGTGTGTGTACACACCCAATCTCTCCAGCCCCAATAAAATGCTCCCAGCATAAAATCTTAACCTCTAGTTTTTTATGCCAGAAGACTTAAGTTTGGGAACTAAATTAGTGATTTAATTTCTCTCAGGATAACTAGATTTCTCATATCAATTCAGAACTAGTTTATATTAGGGTAATGTTTCTCAAAAGAAAGATTCTGCCCTACAGGGGACATGCTGCAATATTAGGGTGATGATTCTCAATTAAGCTGGAAACACAGAGCATTTTCTGGTTCTTAACATTCTGGGAATGTTCCTAGAATCTAGTGGCTAAGGATACTGCTAAGCATCCATCAATGTACAGGACAGTACAGGACTACAACAAAGAAGTTCTGATCCAAAATGTCAACACAAAATTTGCCAAGGTTGTACCTCCCTGGTGGCCTACGGCTTATGTCTCAGCGATACCTCTGCTACTCCCCACCCAGGGAGCTAACCCATATATGGCACAGCAAACCTCTCCTGTCTCACCAGCTGCTTCCTTTATCAGTGTATTTCAGTAAGTCCGCCTGTTCTGCTTCCCACTTTGCCTCTGGTGAATCCTCTCACACCACACATCTCTGGCCTATACCACAGTTCTTCTTGTATGTATAAATAAATCTTTAAAAAATAAAAAGAGGGCCTCCCCGGTGGCGCAGCGGTTGAGTGCTGGGTTGCCAAGCTGCCCGCAGCCTCTGCGGCGCCGGTTTGATCCCTGGCTGCTCCCCGGCCACAAGAGGAGAGTCCCACATGGCGCGCAGACCTCTCCTGCCACCCGCTGCTTCCCTCAGCAGTGTACTTCAGTCCATCTGCCTGCTCTGCTCCCCGCTCTGGCCCAGGGGAATTCTCTCACCCTCCCGCGCTTCTGACTGTACCCAGTGTATGTATAAACAAAACAAACAAACAAACAAACAAATAAAACATGCCTCTATGAAAATAAATAATTTTAAAAAAATAAAAAGAAAATAAACTCTAGTGTAAAGTAAACACTAAGTTTTACTGAGAAAGAAATAATGTGATAGAAACATTAGACCACTTAAAAATACCTATTTTTAATTTTTATTTCCAGAATATTTTTACTATACACCAAAAATCTTTACCAGAAACTTCTTCTCCAAGACTATTTTTATCAAAATGTTAAACTGAGAGCACTGCTAAGTTATCATTAACTATGCCATTTCATTATGTAGGTCCCCTAAAGTTGCCCCAATCCATTAGCCAAAACACTAATTAAATTAAAAGCACAGTATCATCCAAACTCCTTTTAGTTATATAATAGTATCATCCCTAAAGTCCTTTTAGCTTGGCTTCCCCGGTGGTGCAGCGGTTAAGCGCTGGGTTGCGAGGCTTCCCACAGCCTCTGCAGCACTGGTTTAATCCCCAGCCTCCCGGCGAGGGTCCCACAGGGCGTGCAGACCTCTCCTGCCTCCCGCTGCTCCCCTCAGCAGTGTACTTCATCAGTCAGCCTGCTCTGCTCCCTACTCTGGCTCTGGTGAATTCTCTCACCCTCCTTCGCTTCTGACTGTGCCCAGTGCTTGTATAGATAAATAGATAAATCCTTGGAAAAAAAAAAAAACTATATATAAAAAAATAAATAAATAAAATCCTTTTAGCTACCTATGAGAATTTCTGTCATTTATTTCCTCAAACTTGTTAAAAACAAAACAGGCAGCTTTTACATTTTCAACAAAGTAAGCATAGTTATTAAGGTAACATACACAAAGTTCACCCCTTCTCGTATGTCAAGCAGAGTGCAGAAGTTTGCATAGAATCACATGCTCCCTTGCCACATATCTGAAGAGAAAGAAATGTAGTATAAAGAAATTTTCATACAATATTACATTTCCTTACTTTTGCAACCTTAATAAAAGTTTAAAAAAAATTAATCTCACTGAAGTTGATTACTTAAGAATAAGTTCAAATCAAAGAAACTAGATGCACATATGGTCAATACCAAATACCAAAATACCAATACCAAATACCAAAATACCAATACCAAAATAAAACAATACACAAAACTCACCCAAAGAATCAAGGAGAAAATACAAATAAATATTCCTCATTCACATTTTTACTTCATTGATTTGGAGAAAACACTAGAATTTAGTTTTAAGCATGTTTCTTTCAAAACATGTCACACACACACACACACACACACACACAAAATCGGGACATGAACATTCATCAGTTTCATAGAACTCGGAGCCTCCCTGGTGGCACAAGGGTTAAGACGCAACCTATGAAGCTATCCGCAGCCACTGAAGCACGAGTTCGATTCCAGGCCAGGCAGGGAGCAACCCACATGGTGCAGCAGACCTCTCCTGACTCGCCCGCTGCTCCCCTCAGCAGTGTACTTTGGTCAGCCTGCCTGTTCTGTTCCCCACTCTGTCTCTGGTGAATCCTCTCAGCTCCACTCCCCCGTGCATCTGGCCTGTACCCCAGCTCTTGTATGCATAAATAAATAAATCTTTAAAAAAAAAGTTTTATAGAACTCACCCAAAAAATCCTAAAATTCACTGGATGCATGTATAAATAAAAGGCCAAGTGTAACACACAGTTAAAGTGGTCTTTTAAGAGAAAATAATTACCCAAATAATGAACAACACATAATACCAAGTCACAATTTTTAGGTATAAATGCTTGAAGTTATTTTTAAATGACACTATGAAACTGATTTCCCCTATGTTAATTACTTATTTCACATTCTCTCACTTTCCCAAAATATTTTAAGAATAATTAAGTGGACATGTTTTGAATCAATACCAATACAAGTTTGACACTGCCTTTCCACATGCTGTCTCTGATCTTGGGGAATAATGTTCTACCCCAATCTTGTGGGGATTAAATGGTCAGTAAAATGCCTAGCATTCTAAGCATTCCCTAAAGGCTAAAAATCATCCAATTATCAGTTGAAAGGAAATTTTAAGCTTACCAAAAGAAGAAGTTGCTGTAAAAAAAAGCAATTTCGCTGGCTTTCTAAGTAGGAGACTATAAAAACATAATGAAGTTAGACTTCTCAAATACACAAAAATAATATAATTTTAATTTCTCCATGTTTCTAAGGATCTTCTCCCCAAAATAAAGGCATATATACCAAAAACAATAACCTCAAATTTTTATAATCGAAGAACTGTTAACCAATTACCAAATTTGGTAATTACCAATTACCAAAAAATATTATCTGGCCATCTATTCATCTTTGTATTCCAAAACCGAAGAAAGTGCCTAACATATAGCATGCACTCAACAGTTATTGTGGAATTGAGATGAAAGACATGACACTGTCCAAAATTTTAAATTATTCCAACCCAGGTATAATTATACTCTATATTCATTCAGCAAATATCTGAGTGGCCACTACTAAAAGGCATTTGTTCTGCGCACTTGAGCACATCTAAAAAACACAAAGCTCTCTGCACTCATAGCATAGAAATTCTAAGTTTATGATGTAACAGTGTGAGACAGAAAAAAACAATAAGTATTAATTCATAAATTTAGTTACCTCATGGAGGGCAAAATGGATTTTAAAAGAAGACACATAAAGACCAAGAGTGTCTATTATCTGTAACCTACATGACACCTTCTCAGAGGAAGAGTCCATTCCACATTTTATAATGGTCAAGAATATAAGCACTGGAATAGGACTGTCTGGATTCAGAAGTAATTACTACACATCTGTGCTTGTTTGCTAATTTATAAAATGAGAAAAATAACAATACCCAAAAATGTAAAGATTTATTGTGAGAATTAAAGTCTGTAAAGTGCTTAAAACTGTATCTGAGATACAAATCCCTAATAAAGACTCATTAAATGTTAAAACTATCATAATATACTGCAATTTCCCTACTAAATTTTCCCCCAAAGCAATTGATGTGCAAGTATTTTGTCTACTTTTTTGTGTGCTTCTGTCTGAATACATGATTAAAACTGACAGGCTTCTGAAAATGGTTTCCCCTTATCATTTCTAAGAACTTATTGTATTGCAATAGTATTTGTTTTTCTTTTGAGCTCCTGATCAACACATTCATATATTCATTTACTTACCTTTGAAGTTAAACAAGCATTAAACATGTAAGAAAACCTCTCATTATTAAAACCAATTTACTAAATAACAATTCAAATATTGTTCAAAAACTTCAAATTCCCTGATACACCAGTAGGCCATGTGCCAAAAATCAAATTTTATTTAGAAAACAGAATGAAATAAACTTCAGGCTTATTACATGCAATCCACTAAACTGAGCTTTTTAATGAGAAAATACAATTTAATTAAGTGTCTATTACAGAATCATATACATCAAAATGGTTTATCATTAACAAACTCTTAAAACAGTGCAATCTCATATAATAATTTACAAGTGTACGATACTTTATTTCACCTATGCTTTCATTATATTCACAACTAACCTGTAAGGTTTACATTCTAAAACTATACTATCCAGCTACCAGCCACCAGTGACTACTGCACATTTGAAATGTGACTACGATGTCATTTAAATGTAAAATACACACCAGGTTTCATAGGTAGAAAGAAATATAAACGACCTCATTAACAACTTTTATACTGAATAAATGTTCAAATAATGTATCTTCGTTATCCCAACATAAACATTAAAATTAGCTTCCCCTGTTCCTTTTTATTCTTTTAACAACATTACTAAAAAGTTTTAAGTTATATATGTAATTTATCAACTGTATACTTGACTCACATCACCCATTTATGACAGTATAACTTTACAGTTGAAACAACATTGTTCAAGTTATTTTAACTCAACTTTAATTAATCAAGCCTTTACACTAAAATTTGTTTAACACTGTAAACTGATAGACCTCACCTACTAAGGTGAAACAGCAGCTTTATTAGGCAACCATCTCTTAGTTTATTTGGGTGGACATATTTCAATATAATTAATTTTTGTATTTGCATTAGACTGACCTCTCCTCAATTAGTACAAATTATTACTACCACATGCACAAATTTAGAGGACACATAGTGGGCTCCCAAAAAACGTTACCGCATTTTTTAAATAGGCAAAATAATGTAACCTCTGGCATTAAAGACCTCATGGCAGAGGAAGAGAATAACAAGGAAGTTTGTATTTAGTATTTAAACAATGAGTTTCTAATTATAAGTTCAATTGGGTTTTATGCAATATACAGAATACAAGAAGTTTAGGAGACTTGTAGGAAAGGGTTACTTTAAGATTGGAAATAAAACCTTCACATTCCCATTTAACATTCTGGAAATTCTTTTTTTTTTTTAAGATTTGTTTATTTATGCATACAAGAACTGGGGTACAGGCCAGAGGTGCGGGGGATGACAGGATTCACCAGAGACAGATTGGGGAACAGAACAGGCAGACGGACTTAAATACACTGCTGAGGGAAGCAGTGGGTGAGACAGGAGAGGTCTGCCGCATCATGTGGGCAGCTCCCTGTCCAGGAATTGAACTCGTGCTGCAATGGCTGCGGACAGCTTCATAGGTTGTGGCCTTAACCCCTTGCACCACCAGAGAGGACCATTCTGGAAATTCTTAACTCTCAACAGATTTACTTTCATCACTTATAGTAATTTTTTAGCTACGCCATAAAATGTGTTTGATAACAGTGATCTGATTAGTAGATAAAAATGATTCTTCACCTTACATAGCATGCATACTCATGTAAAAGCACACACAAATAAAACAAGCAAAGCAAAATACTTACCAGAGTGCAACCAGCAGAAGCAGGAATTTTAATTAAAGTCTAATGCAAAACTTTGACATTGGCATACACATTTCTAAGTAAATTAAGTCAGCTGTTTCTAACACAAAGAGAAAAAGCATGTAGAACAGTGTACAGTCATGCTTAATGATGGGGATAGGTTCTGAGAAATACATTGTTAGGCAACTGCATAGTAGTGTGACCATCAGCATACTTAACCTAGAAGGATATGCTACATCTAGGCTTTATGGTATAGCATACCGCTCCTAGGCTGCACACCCATACATGATAGATTAGAAATTCTTATCATGTTAATGTAGTGAATACTGTAGGCAACTGTAACACAATGGTATTTGTCTATCTACCTATATTCAGACAAAGAAAAAATAAAGTATAAATATAATCACTTTTACTGGCAACATTAGCAGTGGATTTTATACTATTAGGGGCCATGATGAGCAAAACAGGAGAGGCTATCTGCTCTTCCTGGTTCTACAGACAACTATGTCTTCTCACGCAGTGTCAATGCATCCCTCAGACACCATGGTGAAGGTTGGAGTGAACAAATTTGGCCAGACAGGGCACCTGGTCACCCAGACTGCTTTTAACTTTGGCAAAGTGAACACTGTTGCCATCAACGGCCCACTCACTGACCTCAACTACATGGTCTACATGCTAGATATAATTCCACACAAGGTAGGTTCAGTGGCACAGTCAACGCTGACAACAGGAAGTTTGTCATCAACACAAAATCCATCTCCATCCTTAAGGAATGAGATCCTGCTGCTATCAAGTCAATCGGTGTTTCACCACCTTGGAGAAAGCCAGGGTGCACCTGAAGGGCAGAGGCAAAAAGGTCATCATCTCTGCCCCTTCTGTTGATGCCCCCATGTTTGTAATGGGCATGAACCATGAGAAGGATGACAGCTCCCTAAAGATTGTCAGCAAAACCTCCTGTACCACAAACTGCTTGGCTTCCCTGGTCAAGGTCATCCATGACAACTCTGGCATCATGGAGGGGCTCAAAACCATGATTTATGCCATCACAGCCACCCAGAAGACTGTGGATGGCCCCTCTGGGAAGCTGTGGC